TGCAGGGATTGAGCCAGAAGGCTGAAGAGTGTGCACTGGAAGCCAGGAGATGGCATCCAAGGTGAAAGGAAAGACTGGAGCACTTCCAAAGCAGACAGAAGAGAGCCTTCCTTCTTTGTTTCTGTTCTCTGCCATCTGGCAATGATCCTCCATTGGTTGGCTCTTCCACATCTAAAACCATGCTGAGCCAATTTAGTCAGGCATTACTTATTCAAGCTGACACAGTCCATCAACAATCACAATGTGTAAATCCAGTGTATGTAGCAAAAGGAAACGTATGGAAGCAAATGCACAGAACCATGCAGTACCCAGTGTCCATTACAGGAAAAGCTCAGTTTCACAAGCAATAGTTTTATGTTTCAGTAATGCTATGATCTTAGCGGAATTTCTATAACTTTCCATATAATTAACATTATTATTTATTCTGATAAATTAGTGATTCTCCTGTACAAAGTCATACTTATGAGAAGTATTAGCTAGACGAAAATAAAATTACTGTATGTTAAAAACAAAACATAGAAATAGGCTACTGTGATGGAAAAATATTTCTCATACACTTGTGTTCATTATTTTAAAAAAGTTTTAGAGTTCTGTACTTCCTTTCCATGCAAGTATTTATTTAGAGTAACACACTAGAATTTAAAACAGAAATGAAATATTGATCAGAAAGTATGTATGTTCTTGGATGACAGGAGAAAGAGGAGGAAGACAAAGAACTTTGAACAGAAAAGAAGATTTGCCCTACACACAACACAATTTGAGCTGCTGCAAGACCAACAGGGCTGTGCCCGGCAAGTCCGGGGTTGTTCTCTACTATGTGCTCTTTGGAGTTCAGGTCCAGGCTGTCAGAAACTCTGTGTAGGCCACCAGTCAGTAATTTGCAAGCTGTGCATTGTGGACAAGTCGTGGCCTCTTGTGCAGCCTCATTGCCATGTCCTAATCTTTTGCATCATGTTTATGGTTATTAAATATTGAATCTTTTGGTATAAAGTATAATTTTCCAGAACAAATATGAATTGTCAGTGTTGCATTGCATTGGTTAAATTTACAAATATAAGCACTTAGCAGACTCTGTAGCAATGAAAATTAGGCTATTTACTCTGCATTATTTGCCTCCCTATCAGCTTCCTGAAAGCTCTGCTGACTTCCCTGTTGCACAGGCTGTAGAAGAGGGGAATCAGTATGGGTGTGAGGATGGTGTAGAAGGCGGACACCATCTTGTCCTGGGTGTACGACCACTCAGACATGGGCCTCATCTAGATGAACATCGCTGCTCCACTGTACATACCCAGTACCATCAGGTGGGAGGAGCAGGTGGCAAAAGCTTTTCTGTGACCCTCGCCCAATCCCATGCAGATGACAGCCAGAAGAACACGAGTTTTGGAAGCAGTGATAGTTGCTATGGGGAAGAGGAGCACAATCACACAGCAGAAAAATATTGTGTGTTCAAATGTCTTGGTGTCTTTGCATGAAAGAGTGAGCAGGGCAGGGACATCACAGGAAAAGTAGGGTATTTCCTGGCCATGACAGTATGGGAAGGACATGGCAACTATAATGATAATGATACCATCCAGTAATCCAAGAATCCACGAGGAAGCTTCCAAGAAGGCACAGAGTTTCGGACTCATGAGTAATGGATACCTTAGAGGGAGACAAATAGCTACGTAGGGATCATAGGCCATTGCAGGCAGCAGGAAACACTCGGCTCTGAGCAGGGACACATAGAGGAAGATCTGAGTCCCACAGCCTGCCAGGGAGATGGATTTCCTGCCACACAGGAAGTTGACCGCCATCTTGAGCACAGTGGTGCTGATCAGCATGAGGTCCATGAGGGAGAGCTGACTGAGGAGGACGTACATGGGCGTGTGCAGCTGGGCGTCCAGGAGCAGGACCATGGCTGTGTTCCCTGTGCAGGCCACTGTGAAGATGACCAGGACCAGGGTGAACAGGAAGGTTTGGATGGGGCTGTGATCAAAGATCCCCAGCAGGATGAAGTCTGATTTGGAGGTCTGATTGTTCCAGCCCATGGGGAGTGAATTTTCTGTGGAAAGCACATGTAACAAGTGGGTAGGGCTGAGTAACAGAGACATTGTGTTTACTTTTTTCATTTTTTACTTTCTGTCAGACCAGTATATTCTCTCAGTATACCTTCACATTTAATGGTGATTTAGTTAAATAATGCTCTCTTTGTCATGTAGAGTAAAAATCTGTTTTCTTAATACCGTGCAAATTTTTTAAATTATTACTTTATTATCTTTTTTTTCAGCTTTAATTGAGTTTATTGGTACATTTTAGAAATACAGTACAGTTACATTCATTGTTAAGATCCCAACTTTATTATCTTTTTATCCTCACTTTCTAATAGGAATTTCTTTTTAAATTAGCTGTGTTATTTTATATTCACTTTAAATTAATTTGGGGTAATTTTGCCTTCTCAAGACATTTCATACATTAAACGTGTTACAATTAAGAAAACTATTTCATTTTTATCGTAAATCGCACTCTGTATTCATATTTTCTGACATTTATATTTCATTTTCTGTTTTTTTCTATAGAAAGATGATTTTAACATAATTTCTTCCACCTCGTTTGAAGTATTGCTGTATGCATGCACCTTCTCTTTTTCCATCAATACCCATGATGGTGATAATCCTGTTTCAAATTATTTAATTATGGGAGGGGTAGAGGAAAGGTAAAAAGAGAAAGGAAAATATGCGTCCGCTTGTTTCCTGTGCTGACAACGCCACTGCTGCGCACAGTTCTTGTCTCTACCCTGCGGGACAGCATTGGCATGGCCTGGGAAAACGGCGTGTCAGTTCCCAGGTGGGAACTCTTCCGAGATCCAGGCTGAGGAAACCATAATAGGTCTCACAGGGGAGGCCTCTACCCTCACCTTTCCCTGCAGCCCGGCCCCTGGGAGCAGCGGTCACCATGAAAGGTGAAGACTTTGCTGTTATCCCCAGAACAGACACTGTGTAAGGAGGCAGCACAGCCCTGAGAGTAGGCCTCCTCTTCTTCCCGAGAGAGTTTGAATCAGTGTGTTGCCAAGCTTAAATTAGCTGAAAAATAAAAAAGAGCTAAAAGGATATTAACTCAAAAGAATACCTTTCTGAAGATTAACAGAGTAGAACACGGGTGTGAGTACAACCCGGAGAACCCCACACTGCTGTCAGAGCTGAGAGAGGGGAGAGCTAGGAACTGCGTGGAAGCGCTGTCACGGCTTGGACTGGGATCTCCCGATGGTGGGGACCGCGGAACACTAGCGTGGAGTTCCAGAACATCATAGCCAGAGAGGCGGCCTGTTCATCCAGTAATTCTACGTGATGTGCACTTTATAACCATCATTTTGATCGGGCTAGAACATTTTTCCCTTTCCTTCTCTTCTTAGAGCTTATGCTGTACAATAACATGCAATCCTCTCATTAGAAAAGGGAGAATTAATTAATTTTAATATTTATAGAAGGTTCTGACATAAATGTCTTTCTGTTTGTAACATCTACTTGTGTTATTTTCAAATAATTAATATCTTTTCTAATGACAAGAAAAAATGATGTGGTATGTTCTTTTAATAATAGCAATGGACCTCTGGGTTTTATGAACAACAAAATGTGATCATATTTCTTAAGAAGATAAAATTTGGAAATATTTTCATTTATTAGTTCAGAACTTTAATATAAACTACTTACCTAAATTATAATTCTCTTCATATGTCTATAAAAATCTATTGAACTGTAGAAGAGGTTTCAGACATTACAACTTAGTTTTTATTACTGATGGAGATATAGTAAAACATTTAATGCCACTTCGGAATCACTGCTTATAGGTTCACACAAGGAAAAATAAAATACAGCTGAATATATGTGTCCTACTCAGTGGCTCAATACATGGAACTCATGATTTCCAAGATCCTCCACTCTGCACATGTTCGGCTACTTGAACTGCACACCTCAGGAATATTTGCACTGCTGCATAAACCTTTACATTTGCTACACACAAAGTTTTATGACTTAAACTTCATAAATATTTCAAGGGGGAAATAGAGAGGAGTCACGTGCTTTCACATTATTGTTGAAATACTCTTTTTGGTACAAATATATTAAATTGCTGTGTTTATAACATATATATTACATCATTTCAAAAATATGTTTATCCTGTACAAGGACAGTTTTCTTATGATCACCTTGGTTAAATTACTTTATACTTCTTCAAATAGGTTGATACTAAAATATATGACAGGACTGATTGGGACTATCTTTCTTTGAACACAAGGATTTTGCCTTGTTTTAATGCATGGTGGCCAAACGGTTCCTACAGAGTGGGAGAGAGGGTAAGGTGACTTGCAGGGCTGACCAAAGAGGGCACCATTTACTGAAGTGCACTCTATCTGCATGCACCTTGGCTCCTCCTTCTGCTCCGTGCTTTCCACACAGGACTGGCTCACACCAAACCCTTGGTCTTCCCCTCACTGAGTCCATGAAGAACATGAAGTTACAGCTGAAGGCAACGCTTTCTTCGACATGATGATCTGTACCCCTGTGACTGTCTCCCAGGTGCTCACCATGACAGCATCATCTCTGGTTTCCCCACCATCCTCTGGACTTTGCTATGCAACATCTTTGGGGACAGGAAAAGTCCAGCTCTCATAGGCTCAGAGTACACCTCAGCTTGGTCTCTCATGTCAACATTCCTGGGATGCAAGGGGCAGCATCACCACTGAAAAGGCTGATGCAGCTGTGGAATAACTCCTCACTCCTGGAGTTCTGTTACTCCTAATGTTAGACATTATTAGAATATTCACAAGGAAAAAATATCTTGAAAATCAAGTGAGAGAAATCTCATAGAGTTGAGACACCTGTGAATCACATTTTTGACAGCACTACTTGCTGCTCTTAAGGACCATTACAACGTGGAGTAAGTGGATAAGACTTTTCCATTCTTAATTCCCAGGCATCTACCATCCTCTGGAGTCGTGGATCCTCCCAAATCAGAGCAGATGTGGGATGGATGGAGAAAACAGAACCACAGTGACAGAGTTCATCCTCTTGGGGCTCTCGGGCTCTCCCTCCCTGCGGCTCACACTCTTCGTGACGTTCCTCACGGTGTACCTGCTCTCCCTCCTGGGGAACACCCTCATCATCCTCATCGTTCTCACGGACCCCACCCTCCAGACACCCATGTACACCTTCTTGGGGAACCTGTCCTTCCTGGAGATCTGGTACACGACAGCCACAGTGCCTAAGCTGCTGGCCACCTGCCTCTCCGAAGCGGTCACCATCTCTGTTCCGGGATGCATTGCCCAGTTCTATTTCTTCTTCTCCTTGGGAGCCACAGAGTGCATCCTGCTCGCCGTGATGGCCTATGACCGGTACGTTGCCATATGCAGCCCTCTGCGCTATGCACTTCTCATGAATGCTCACATCTGCCTCAGGTTTTCTGCTGGATCCTGGACTGGGGGCTTCACTGTTACTCTCCCAACTACCATACTTGTCTCTCGTCTCAATTTTTGTGGCCCCCAGAGGATCAACCATTTCTTCTGTGACTCAGACCCCATTTCTAAGCTCTCCTGCTCAGACACATACTTTGTGGAGACCGTGGGCTACACGTGTACCTCTGTTTTTATTCTCAGTTCTTTCCTTCTTACTTTCTCCTCTTATGCCAATATTGTGGCCACAGTAGTCAGGCTGGCTTCCAGAGAGGCTCGGAAGAAAACTTTCTCCACCTGTGCCTCCCACCTCACTGTGGTTACCATCTACTATGGCACCCTCATGTTTGCCTACGTCCGCCCTCCGGCCAAGTACAACTTCACCATTGGCAAAGTGGTGTCCGTGTTCTACTGTGTGCTCACCCCACTGGTAAACCCTCTGATCTACACCCTGAGAAACCAGGAGGTGAAGAAAGCTGTCAGGAAAGTTCTGGCACAAAAAGCATTTTTCTTCACTAGAAATACCAAGAAATTTTGATAAATCAACAGAGTTTATCCTGGCCGAGTGAATGCTAAAATCTATTTTAAAAGATCAGTAATAGAAATAATATTATTAGATACATGTCATTTAATATGACAACCTTTTTGCAGTTGCACTTTTGTTTTGAATTCTATTCTGTACTTACTCTATTTATGGCTGCCTTAATACAATGCCACAATGACAGAAAGATTAATAACACAGGATTCTTGCCCAAAAGACATTCACAGGTGAATATGGCTGGTTCAGTCTCAGTTGCTTTAGTTGCATATTTTTATAACTTTAGCAGAAACCATGGACCATAAAACTTTGTCAAATTAGAACACCTTTCCTCTATATTGTACATGTTCTCATCCAAATTTGATCCTTTGTTCCTGAAAAATACATCCATTTCATAAATCTCCAACACATGTGACGAGCCAGGCACTGCTCTGAAGCATGGATTGTGATTTCTTTATATTAATTTGGCTACCTGATTTCATTAGAAAAATATTACCTAATCAGGGTTTTCCTGCTTCATATAAAGTATAAACAAATTATCTGTGTTTTCAAAATATCTTCATTGAAAATTGGAAAAAAAACATAGAAATGAGCAGTATAAAAATGATATTTTAACATGATAAAATGTGGTTAATCAGATTCTGATAAAGTAGTCAAACAGACAATTAATTTAAGAAACTAGTTGATCTTTTCCAAAGGAGAGAATAAAAGAAAGGACAACGTTTTCCCATTATGATATGTCATTGTCTTGTGTGGATGAAGAGCTTCATAGTTTCCACTGTTTCAGTGCTGTGAAGAAACAAGAGTGAGGGCGAGGGTTCTGAGGAGAGAACCACACCCCATCTCAGAGTGAGCAAGTGAGTGCTCAACACGATCGTCCTGCAAAGTCAGCTCTGGTGACCAGCAGCATCGCGCAGTGTGAGGACAGGATGTGCACTCCAGTGCTCCTGGGGGGGACTGCACGGGGAACAAGACCATGGGCTGATTAAGTCAATAAATGCAATCCTGAAAACCACTGTCTTGAGCCACAGAGTGATATTTCCTGAGCATATACATGAATACACACACAAACACACACACACACATACACACACGCACACACATATATATATATATATATTAGTATATGTGTACATATACATATATAATGAAGAGATTAATAAATTCAAGATTTTATTACATATGCTAATGTGTAGTATTTTTCTTCAATGTCATCATGTGACTTTCCAAAATACGTGAATTATATAATAAAATATTTTCAGAATACCTAGTTTTTATTTAGAGGAAACATTTCTCAATGACTTTATTAGTCCTATGGAATGATTGTTTGGTTGGTTAGATCTGTACGTGGATATACTTTCATTACTTTGCCCTATTTATTCCTTCCTTTTCCTCTACTCTCCTTGTTACCCTTGTTCTTTACTAATCATCTTCCTCCTACTTTCCTCCTTAGTTTTTCTAATTATTTTTAGATTCTACATTTGTGAGAAATTGTGGGATGTTTTACTTTTAAGCCTGGCTTATTTCAGTAATAACTATGTTCTGCACATCCACGCATTTTCTTGCAAAGGATGGGATTTCATTCTTAATCACTGAAAATCTCCACTGTGCATATACTTGACAATTTATTCATCCATTTAATCTGTTGATGGTGCCTGAGCTGTTTAGCTACTACTGGTCTTTTGTAAGCAGAGGTACACAGGTGTCAGTGTAGCATGCTAGCTACAATTCAAGACTATGTTGAGTAATGGAGTATCTTAATCAGAAAGTATCCCCGCTCTAATTTCCATCATGACTGTATTAATTCATTCGCATTCTCACCAAGAGCGGAGAAGCTTATCTTTTCCACACATCCTCACAAGCACTTATTACTTTGTTTTCTTGATGACAGCAGTTCTGAGAGGAGAGAGGTGGCATCTCAATGGAGTTTTCTTATAGCTGAAAATGTTGGACCTTGGCCACTTGCATTTCTCATGGAAAGGGTCTGTTTAACTAACTTACTCACTTTCCAGTCAGGTTACTCCTTCGTAGCATTGGGCTTTTGAGCTCTATATGTCCTCTCGATAGTAATGCTGTCTCAGAACTGCAGCTGAAAAATATTTTCTCTATAGGAACTATTGTTAAAATAACTTTGACTTGCAAATGTGAAATTTAGGTCACCTGATATCATCTATTCTAACACTTAATTTTTTAGCAAACAGCAAAATTTGTATTCAAACTATCCCAGAACAAGTGCAACATTCTCTCTCAGTGCTTTGATTTTTCTGTGTGAAATCCCAGCAGAAGACAGGTTTTCTTTTCCAATTAGTGGGAGCAACATTTTCAAAAGTCCAGCTCCTTGGATACACCTAATTATTTCTTAGGTTACAGGTATAAGACTAAGTGTGTCTAGCACAGCTTCCCTTTGTGCCTTCCCTCATTCTGAAGCTTTACCTGGTGTGAGTCCTACCAGGGCAAACCTGCAACCATGGTGGTGGACATCGAGAAGTTCACAAAAGAAAGGTTGTGCTCTGGACACAAATGCAAATTCAAGATGCACAAAGAAAGTCTCTTTCTACCCTCACTCACATTTTCTTAATGTTTGCTTTGAGAACCTTTACAATTCTCCTTCAGAATTTGCTACAAGTTTTGTCTCTTTGCAAAAGTCAAGCTTGGTGATAATGATCATCACATTTCTGTACATGGGACATGGTGGAGGAGATTATGATGGGGTCCCAGGAACTGGGTAATGGGCATCTTCCTAGAGTAGAGCAGCAGCATGGGGAACACACAAGACTGAGTAAATATAAAAGAATTCTTATCACAGCATGCATATTATCAGATTATAACCAAGTAAAGGTAGAAATTAATGACTAACAAAAACACAGAGTTGTGCAAATTCATGCACACTGGACAATACACTGCATAAAAACAATGTGTTATAAAAAAGGTGTGATGCATAGGGGAAGAACAAAAAGGGAAAAGAAAAAAATGTGAGAGAATGAAAAGATGAAAATAAAGTGTTTGTAGATGGGGAGGGGAGGAGGGTGTGAAGGGAGCGGAGGTAAGTGTGAAGGGAGGGCGGAGGTAAGGGGAAAAAATGAGAATCAAGACTTGCCATGTAGAGGTACATGATCCCAACAATGAATGTAACTGTACTGTATCCCTAAAATATACCAATAAACTCAATAAAATTAAAAAAATTATAAAAAAAAACTAAATGAGAAATCAAATATTTTGTAAAATTAAATGTTATTGCCAATACAACCCACCAGAACTTACGATACAGAAAGAAAATAATACTAAGGTGGATGTTTGTAGTTTGAATACCCACATCAGAAAAATGTAATGAACCCAAATAAAGAAAAATGTAGCCAAATGTTCTTTAAAAACAGATCAATCCAAACACAAATGTAGTACAGAGAAGGACATTATAAAAATCAGAGTAGAAATCAATAAAATGCCCCCTAAATCCAAAGATAAATGAATGGAAAATTTGGTTGATTGGAAGAATAAATAATACTTACACTTAGCCAAACTAACAAAAATAAGGAGAGAGAGACATAAATTAATACAATTAGACATGAAAGAAGTAAAATCCAAATGGAAAATTCCAGAGCAAAAATGACTACGAGCATCAGCTTTGCAAATATCTTCTGTTTCAAGGCTATCACTCCATGGTGCACATCTATCTAGATTAAACTGTCCTCTGATAGACACTTGGGTACAATTCCATGTCTTGGACTCCATAAATTATGCTGTAAAATGTAGAAGTGCACACAGGTTTTCAGATGTCAATTTCAAAATGTTGACAATACTGTTCAGACATAATATTACTGGGTAATTTCATGATTCTGTGTTCTTTTGAAGGCTTTCTGGGCTGTTTTCCATAAGTGCTGTAATAATTCATATTTCCAGTAAGTGTATAAGGGTTTCCTCTCTTCCTCACAATGCTCACTGATCATCTCTTTGATAACAGCCACACTGGGAGGTGAGAACTGAGATATCTCTGTGGATATAATTTGTGTGTCCTTCATGAGGAACGACACTGGGCATGGTGTAGTCATTCTGACGTTGGTGTTGGGGATGCTGTATAATGTCCCTGACAACATATTTTAATCCGATATCTATTCTGTCAGAAACTGTATGGATTTATAAGTAAGTTTCGACTAATGTTAGCATAGCACAGTGTATCTTTCTCCAAATCTGCACTGTTATTCTACTTTTGTCTTTATAATTAATATATGTTTTTATAGACCGCATCATCAAAACTCTGACAGTTGGTGACATTTAGTGTCTGTGTTTACACCATTCTCTTGAAAGATTATTGATAAGCTTGTATGAATACTATTATTTTTATTTCCTATTGCCTAATCTTGTTCTTCTGTACACTTCTATTTTCCATTTTTTCTGCCACTGATTTTCAGCACATTATTCCATACTGCTTCTTGTGGAAACACAAACCCACACATATTGTGATATAACTCTCAATTACTCCTTCTATCACTTTTGACCTTATTTTAGTTTTAGCAATTCATAATTTGTTTTTAGTAACTATAACTATTACTTTAGTTTGAAATATTGTCATATTTTATGTCAATTACAATAAGAAGAGTAAGGTTTTATTTTTATTTATTAATTCCCTGATGATCTTTCAATTAGTTATGAATTTCATGTTTAGAGTTCCTGGGAAGCCTGACTCAAACTGGCTCTTATGACTTTTTTTCATACTCTCACTCATTTGCACAATTATCCCATTAAAAAAAAAGATGCAGGTAGTTTACCACATAAAGTAATTTATTAAATTAGGATATAACAATTATCCTTGTGTTATTCACTCATTTCCTTCATCAGAGTGTGAGCTGGACAGGGAACGTATGTATCTCTCCCTTTATAACCTTGACAGCAATGGTATTTATTCAATTTATGCTGCTTTACGGAGCATAGTTACCAATGTTGGTTATTATTGCCAGTTGAAAACTTAAAATGTTTTCAAGATACAGATTCATATGAAAAGAGGT